CCTATCATGTGATTAACATGAGGAAATTTTAATGTGCTGATGAACAAAGTAGTAACATGAGGAAATTTTAATGTGCTGATGAACAAAGTAGTGAACTCTTTTTCAGTCAATGGTGGATGTACTTGAGAAGCAACGTCTTTCCATCGTTGTGAATATTGTCGAAAGCTTTCATTGCACTTCATATTCATGCTTTGCAACATTGTTCGATCAGGGGCCATATCAGTCATGTGCTTGTATTGACCCAAAAAAGCTTGAGCTAAATCCCTCCAAGAACGTATTTGAGTACGTTTTAGCTGATTATACTATCTGGATGCAGACCCAGATAAACTGTCTTGGAAACAGTGGATCAACAACTTTTCATTCTCTACATAGCCAGTCATACGCCGACAATACATAGTGATATGATATGAAGGGCATGTGGTCCCATTATACTTCTCAAAATCTGGAACCTTGAACTTTGGTGGAATAACCAGGCCAGGGACCAAACTTAGTTCTTTGGCATCAAACCATAAAATGACTCAACTGTCTCTATAGATTTTATCACCTCTTCTATATTTTCCAGTCGTTGAGTGAATTTTTCCTTCTCAACTGATTTGTTTAGGTCAAGGACCTCATTACTAATACAAAATTCATCAGGCTTCAACTCAGAAGTAGTAGGACAATCAGTGGGGAACTATGCTCCAGCTTGATATGGTGAGTTCTTAACAGCAAAGTAAATCGGTGATTGAATTTCCTGGGGTATAGAGGTGAGCTCAGGAATATGAACAGGTGTAACATCCAAAGAATTTGTGGGGTTTTCAACAAGACTCTTTCCAGCGATCTGGTGCTTCTCAATCATTTCTTTCATATTGTTCAGTAGATCGATATGAGAATTTGTGATATTAACTTCAATTTGTGCCAACTTGCTCCTCAATTCCTCTTGTATTTCTTTCTGCTTTATCTCAAATTTGGCTAGCCTATCTTCAGTTTCTTTAGACATTTTTCTTGTGTTGTGCTAAGCGTTCTTCTTCGGAAAAACCAAGATCACTTCGTTTGAAATCCTTATTTTAATGAATGAATGTTTTAATGTATTATGACATAAAAATGCAAAGATGCCAAAGGCAAATGTAAATATGTGAATGTAATAATAAGAATACAAATTGTGCAAAAGCAAACATAAAAATAAAAATGCAAAGATGCCAAATGCAAATGTAAAAATGTAAATGTAAATACAAACGTAAAAATGTACAAATGCAAAATACAAATGCATGTATGAAAAGGTGTTACTCAAGAGTGATCATCTTAGAACAGATTTCATTGAACGCAAAAGTTTCGGTACATCAAACAAAACTTTACATATAGGGATATCTTTCATTTCTAACTTCTCTAAAGCCCAGTTAGTTTCCATTTATGCTCAAAAGTTGAGTCTTCAGTCTGCTTTATCTCCTTGTAAAGTCAGCTAAATTTATCATTTAAGAACCATATTATTTGTCTGGACTACAACTTCTTCTATGACATTCTCTTTCATCTTCTATGTTATTTCTCGGAGTTGCTCATTTTCCCTTGTAAGAGAACCTTTCTGTCCAAGAAGTTCTTGAACAAAATCTCATATATGTTGCAGCTCTTTTTAGCTTGGTGACCCCTGTTATCCACTCTTCTGGGTACTTCCTAGGCCATTTTGAAAGGCTTGACTGATCTTCTGAAAATCTTCCTGCATGGTTTTCATTTCTGTGCTCAATTTCTTGTTTTGGTCGTTCAAGTCCTTCAAATAATATGCTTGAGCTTCATAAAAAACTCCTCCACTTTGAATGCCCTGATTGATGCTCTTACCATAGACTGCTTTTGGTATCAATCTGGTAGGATCTTTGTGTAGCACTTTTGGTATTAATATAACCGGTTCTCTATGTACAAAACTTCCCTCGATCCTCGTAGTTTCTTCAGGATGTTTTTCCTTGGTCTATCATTTGTTTGATCATAAAACTTTTTGTCCATTTACGATTTCTTTCCAATTTGATGAACAGTCTTTTAAGTCAACACCTTTTGGTTATGCCATGGTCATGCAATGCCAACAAAAGAAATCAATATGAACAGATTAGAGCAATGTAACAAAAATAAGAAAAAATAGAATAGTTAGTACCAACTAATGGAAAAAAATCTATTTATCAAGGTATAAATCTTAACCTCATGCTTTCTAGTTCCATGTTTTGTTTGGAAAAATTAACCTAACCACATGATTTCTAGTTCGCATGCATTTATTCAGGAAAAAGAAAAGGAAATAAAATAAATTAAAGCTAGAGCTTATTTCTCCTTTGTGTATACCTATGAACAGAGGTTCAGTATTGTCTTAGATCAGGTGAATTTCTAGGGTTTATTATATACATGTTTTCAGTTCTTGGAGTAAAGGTACTCGAACTATCCTTGTTTATGCCCCCTTGGGCTGTCAAAACCCTCAATCCTAGTCCATTACAGACTTTAAGCGGATCGAGTTCAATTCGAGGGGACACATTTCTCTATGACTGACACGGAGAATAAATTCTCACGAAGACATAGAGCATATGAACCCCGAAAGTTACTTGCTAGGTCTGACACGGAGAATAAATTCTCACGAAGACGTCGCTTTCACTCCCACTTAAAAGGGACAAACTCAATTATAGAGCTTTATGTAATGCAAGTGTTGTGTGTGAGGAGAAATGTTCAAACCTCTAACAGACAAATAAAATAAATAATATCTGAATAAAATAAAAAATTAATAAAATAATATAAAAGTAATAAAAATTTGAAAGAAAATAATTAAAAATTAAATATGAATTTTTAATTTCCAACTGATAGAGACAATTACAATTGATTTAAAGTTTGACAAATCCCCAGCAGAGTCGCCAAGCTGTCGTAACCGGTTTTCGTCCGGGCACGAATTTGTTTTACTTGGCGGGAAAAATAATGTGAATAAATGGTTTTTAAAATAAATTTGAGAGTCGTCATCGGCCTTTTGGGTCTGGTAGGTCGAATACCTAAAATTATCTTTTAAAAGAGTTTTTAAGAAAACATCAGTTAAGATGAACTGATCTGCGTTTATAACCAAAAATTCTTTCTTTTTAATATAAAAGGGATTCGTGGTCGGTTACGTTAGGGAAGGATTAGCACCCCTACAACGCCAAATTGGTACTTTTAATTATAAATTGTCTCTATTAGAAATTTAAAATTCAAAATATATTTAATTTATAATCCTATTATTTCAAAATATAATTATATAAATAAATATTAATTTATATATTTATAAATACAATATTTATTTATTTAGAAATATCATAAAAGAACTTTTAGGTGCCTTAAGACAGCTCTTTCTTCGATTAAAAAAATAAATAAACATTATATATAATTTTAAAAAATAGGATATTTATTTATTTAAAAATATCAGAAAATGGGCATCCAGTTGTTTTAAGACTGCCCTTTCTTAATATTGAAAAAATAAATATATTAAACAAGATTAAAATAAGTTAAAAGTAATTAAATAAGATTTTAATAAATAAAATAAAATTAAATAATATATAATAATAAAAGTAAACATATAAAATTAAATATAATGAACAAAATTAAAACTATATATTAAAATAAATAAAACTTATAAAAATTGAATTAGTGACTAAATTAACTTAATAGAATAAATACCTAATTCGTAATTAATTATTTAAAATTACAAGGATTAAACATGTTATTTATCCATTTATTAATTTGGTAACTAAAATAAATTATATTAAATTCGAATATCAGATTAAATAAATTAAAAATATGTACTCGGGATTAAAATATTAATTATTAAAATTAAAGGACTAAATATGTTATTTATCCTAAACATATTATTTAATATAAAGGACTAAAATAAATAAAATTAAAATTAAAGAACCGAATTAAAAGGATTATAAATTAATTTAGTGACTAAAATGTAAGGATTACAAACTTGGAGCACTGCGGACAGGGTTTACCCTCTTCTCAAAACGCACCGTTTCATCATGAAATGACGCCGTTTTGTATCGGGTATAAAATACCCCAAACGGCTGGCCCTTCGGGCCAGCTATCATTTCTCTTCTCTCTCTAGCTGAGAGAGAAGAGAATTCTCTCCCTTCTTTCTATTATTTCCCTCACCGGAGGGAACACGGTCTCCGACCGGCAGCCGTACTCCGACGTCGAACACCGCCACCGACCACCGTCAACGGTGGCCGGAATTTTTTTTAAAATACCCTAGGATATAAATCTCACCGTTCTAAGGCCGAATCCGACATCTATTTTCCCCGTTTTTCTCCGGTTCTTGCTTGCTGTCTTTTGCTCTCCGTGGCTGTTGGTTCTGTATCTTTGCTTGCTGTTGTTCTTTTTTTTTCTTTCGCAGGTATGGTGGCCATTTTTATAGGCCACCACGGTGATGGCTTTAGACTGGTTAAAGGAGTAAACTTTGGTGAGTCACCAAACTTGTGGTGACTCACGGAAGATGGGAACGCGTGGACGGCTGGAATGACTCTTCGGGGGCTTCGACGGGCATGGCAGCTGTTGAGGACGGCGGTGTTGTAGTTGAAACGCCTGGCAGTGGAAACGTCGGTAGCGTCGGTTGGACCACCTAGCAGCAAAGGATAAAGCGGCTGCTCATTCCCAACGACGGCTGGCAGCTTGGGGAAACCCTAGAAGGGTTAGGGTTCTCAACCGGGTTGGGTTTGCATTTCTTTGGGCTTCAAGATTTGTAAATGGGCCTGTAAAAATTTATTAATAATAAAATAATAATAATAATTATTATTATAATTATAATAATAATAATAATATAAATAATATTCAAATGAAAAAAAATGAGTATCTTCAAGTAGTATTTGTTCAAAAAATATATATTCCATTCAACATATTAGTAACTACGATAGTAATTTGAATATCCAAATGTATAATTTATTCTATTCAAAATTTGATTAAATCACAATAAGAAAACATAATTTCATTTTAAAATATAAATCAAATTGAAATACAAGGAGGATGATATATATTCGAGGTTGAGATCATTTTGAGGAGGAGGAATCCTTAATGGAACGGTTGAAGTAGTTCAATTCCTGGGAATGCGGCCCATACACTGCCTTGATGGTGTCCCGACAGCAACTGCAAAGTAACCATCTTGATTAACAACCGAAAACAAATCTTCCATAATATCATGAGAGGTCGTGTCGAACCTGCAAGCTTCCTTGTTAAACTTTCTATTCTCAATTCCGTACAACTTGTTGAATACATCAGGTTCCACCCGGCAAAAATATGGACGATCTGAAAACTACAGCCCCTTTACCATACCACAATTTCAACCTACGTATCTTTAGGGAAGAAAAGACTCACCAGAGTAAACGGAGCAAGTGCGTGTGCTTTTCTCGTAGTGAATGCACCATCCGTCGGGACCTATTAAGCTTCTGTAAAGCTAAAACCAACAAAACAATTTCTCTTTGTTAAATTCAGATATGATTAACTCTCAAAATTAGGGTATGGAAACCAGGATGTTGTTCCTAGAATCAATCATTTTATCGAATATATGGTGTGCATGACTATGACAACCTCGATGTCACAGGGGTCGCTAAAGATTTCTTCAGGCGTGGCGAATGCAGGTCCTTTGGCCAACTTACAGCACGCGCCGCAGTTTTCCACGCACCGCCATATCTCCTTTCTCCCACCACTAAACCCCATGCTAACTTCACTCCGCTTTGTTTTGGGCGCTGTTTTCTTTTCTTTTTGCGCAGGCTTCCGACCCGAACATACGATTCCTAAACTAGGCAGCACAACAACGTGGGGCATTTTGTTGGTTCAAAATCGTACTAAGAACTTGAAATATCCAAATATTGTATTTTGAAGTGCATAAGATATTTAAGCCCGAAGAATAGATATGAAAACAAGGAGAAAAAACTAGGGGGAATAAGAAAAATATGTCGGGGAAAAGATGCAAGGATAGAAAAACCACGAATTTCAGAAAATTACAGTCACCAATCTTATCTCCTAAACTTTAAGTACACCATCCTATGGTTTTTTAGGCAACGTGACAAAATACCTGGAAATGAAATTTGTACATGTGGTATTACAAATGATAACAGGAGGGCCATTTTGGGGAGGGGGATTTAAGGTCACTCGCTTCCGCTAGGTGTAAGTGGGTCTTCGTCGTCACCGTTGATTGGATTATGGTAGTCCCTAGGTGTGAGTGGGTCATCGTAGTCACCACTGATTGGACTATTGTTGTCCCTTGGACTGGGAATTTGGCTGGGACCATTGGCGTCGGAAGGACTTCGGGACTGCCTTCTGACAGGACTCTCATCTCTATCAGGATTAGCAGGGCTCCTTACTTCCAGGGGACTACCTCCGTAAGCAGCTTCATCTTGCAGAGAAGCCAGGTTCCCATTTTGTGGAGAAGGGATTGGACTGAGACTCCTCCCCTTGGAGAGATGTGGGTTGTTCTCGGACTCGGGGCTCTGTGATCTATGAACACGCTCAAGACTTTGCTCTCTCCTTGCTGGAGATCTTGAACGACTGGCATAAAAACGGAAATGGGTTAAAAGAAGCACGAATTATTAGCGCGTAAAGAAAAATCTTAAAACTGTTCTAAAGAAAGGAAAAACGATATTCACTTTCTAGTTGCCAATTCATTTTCCAACCATTTATGTCCAAAGCACATCATTCATGATCGGATAATGCTTGCATTCTTTTTTCTTTTTCGTTTTTTTTTTGTCAGAAAAATTAAAACTAATTACATGTACAAACTTGATCATAAATGACGTTAAAGCTTTTTTGCACTAGAAAACTTACGAGTAGCTCTGGCCTCGGCTGTAACTTCGACTCTTGCTTCTGCCACGACGAAGAGGGCGGGATCTAACTGGTGATCGAGAATAACTCCGGCCACATCTGTTATAGACATAATACAAGAAAAGGTAAGCATAAAAGTAATCAATTTTTGCAAGTGAAAGGGGACATGAAATAAGATTGACAAGGTGAGAAAGTCGGTGGAAAAGATTACCTCAGATTTTGAGGACTGTTCTTGCAAATTCGTTCTATGTGACCTCTTTCTCCACAACGAAAACATTTTTTCTTCCAGTCCCCAGCTTTGCAATCTCGGGCCCAATGGCCATCAATGCCACAATTAAAGCAGCAACCAGATCTAGAAGGGGGAACTCTGCCAAGATATTCTCGAGAACCTCGTTGTACCTAAACAACATTTAAAAGAAAATGAAAAAAAAGGGGAGATAGAAAATTTCAGGCATCTGGCAGAAAAGTTCATTTCAAAGATGTTAAAAGAATCAAGTTAATAAAACTCACCCCCCTTACAAACTCAACAATAATTCGACTTCCATCGAAGTCCCGACCATCCAATCTATATCTTGCATCATCAGCATCTCGGGGATCACTAAATTCCTGTTTACAAAAAATGAGCCCCCCAAAAAATAAAACACTAATAAAAAGAAAAGAATATCACTTACAACAAAGGCATAATCACGCTTCATATCCACTTCACGTATTCTGCGGAAACGGTTGCCAGAAACATAAAGGCCATCAGTAGTTAAGTACTGCAAGTGTATCATACTTCACCCGCTCATAGATGAACTAAACACCAGTTTGAGATTGTTTCCATTTCCACTAAAACACGGAATAATACTACAAAAAGAATCGCCAATGGGTCCCTCTAAACAGCGCAAGAATTCCCACCAATTCGACCAAGGCCGACCCTCTCACCATAGGCCTCCAGGTTTGGCAAAATCCCAGAAACCTTGAACAAGATTCATCCAAGTTAAAAAAAAACACTACATCACCTACGCCAGGCGGTTCCCGCACAGATAAGATCATTAATATTTAGTGCAAATCTGAGCACAAAGAAAGCTTCGCAAAGACCTAAGCACTCCTACATCTCATTAAGAGGCCATTCCTCTCACCAAACCCTCATACCGCTAATTCAAATTGCTGATTCCCCAACTCAAAGAACATTAACAATGTAGAATAACTAGATCCAGACATTACAAAATAGCAAAAATCCACAAAAGGGATAATTTAAATACGGTTAAACAATGCAGGTATATGGTAATTGTGAACTGCGACATCAAACTATGAATCATGTATACCGTAAATATTATGTTCTATGAAATTGGATAAATCTTTAACTTCTTTCATCGCATCGAAACCGAGGAAATCGTCATTACCTCCCGTAACGACTAAAGAGACGTTCTAAATCACGTGCTCGCGTTCGTGAAGAGATGCGGCCAACATAGAGGCGAGTGTTACTATAACGATCATCGTAGCGAGGCATTTTTAAACTGCAATTGTAAGTATTAAAAAAAGAAAAAAGAAAGAACATAAAAGAACAAATGCGGGAATCGATTAATCATAATTTGACAAACCCAAACCAATTATAGTATTAAATCAATCAGTAACATTAACCTGTAAGAGAAACAAATCGAAACCCAAAAATTTAATTATTCTAAATATACCTGCCCTAATTATAGATTGAATTGGGGAAAATTACGAAATTCAGATGGAATCGTCAAAGAAATCAAGAGAGGAGGGCAATTAAAATTGCTAAAGAACCCTGAAATCGAAGATAAAAGTGATGGTTGATACCTGCAGGGTTAAGAAACCCGTTCACTATTGTGCTTTGGAAGCGCTTATACCTGAAAAGAAATGCTTTACGAACATTTGGCTTTTAGAAAGAAAAGTGCTTCTCCACAACATTTAACAGTGCAAACGGATAAACCAAAAATGAGAGCTTTTGTGTTTTGGCAAAAAATGCATTTGAGGCGGTTTCTATTTTTAACCTCCAGCTATTGGCTACTTTATCTCTTCTATTTTTTACTTATTTATTTATTACTAGTCATTTTATTATATCACATCTGTGATATATTTGTTTTTCTTTTCATAGATAAACAAAAATTTTCTTTTATGGTTATCATTATTATCAAAATATTATTAGTTTAAAAAGTAATTAAGATAATTAATAAAATTTTAAATATACTATATAATTTTTTTGTTCAAAATATACTACATAAAAATTTCAAAACTCAATTACGTACCTCCTCCAAATAAGAGACAACTCCTATTTCTCCACAAAAATATGGCCATTAAAGGATTTAAACCATCATAAAGACCTAAAACCAAGTCAACTTAACAGACTACTAATGTAAGTCATTTAAATTGTCTGTAATTATTATTTATTTTGTCAGAGTATTCACAGACAATAAGGATTGATTAAATTTTTGGAATTAATGACAAAGTAGCAATGCATTTCGGATTAACTTATCAGTCTTTATAACTGAGAAAACAGAAATTGAACAATTATTTCTTTCATCACTCGCCACAATGATATATTTACCATTACATCTTTAAACATTATATTTTAAGTTTTCCTCAGGTAAATATATATAATGATAATTCTTTAATATTATATCATATTCAAGTTCATCTAATGTAAATTCATATCATACTTGTTTGATCTACAGTGATGATTTCCCCCTATACATATCAAAACTACTTGTGAAAATATAACCATCAAATAAATAAAAAGGAATGGTAGAAACCCTTGAACTGAATGGTGTCATTGCATTGCACATTTCACAAATTATAATTAAAAAATGAGTTGAACCCTACTAAACAATTTAGCATACCTACTTCTTCTGGGTACAGAGCATCCCCACTTCGAAATTAAGTGGGGGGGGGGGGGGGGTTTAGAGGCCGAACAACCCTGTCTCACTCTGATTTAGGCTTTAAAGGTCTTTGACTGCACGATCTCGTCCGACTTGTCCACCTCCCCACAAACTTCAAGACCTCATCGATCAAAATCACAGGGAATGCAACAGCCAGAACCAGCAGCCATTCATTAAAGCTTAATGGCACAATACCAAATACTTTAGCAAGGAATGGCACGTAGAGGATCAGGAAGTGCAGGCCAAATGACACAGACATGGCGAGCAGGAGCCAAGGGTTGACCCACGGAGGCATCGTCAACAGGCTTCCATCCTCCGAGAGGGCATTAAGGGAGTTGAACATTTCAATGGCAACCAAAACAGAAAGGGAGAGGGTCATGGCTTTTACTTTGCCTCCTTGGAAGTAATCGCAGGGATTATTTCCAAAGGAGAAGACTTGATTCCCAGCTGTGAATGGTGAAACGCTGAAATTATTCCACGATGAGCACTGGCCCCAGTTGGCGAGCTGGGAGTATGTCACAAGGGTGTGGCCATCGCTGCTAAGATCTATGCCCAAGAAGGAACCATACGTGTACCAAATGATGAAGATGCCAACGGTTGCTATTCCAACGTATAGTCCAACGACCTGTGAAAACCATGATGTAAGAAGTAAGAACAATTAACTAAATCCCACTAAACAAACAAGAAAAACATACTTGGTAAAGCAAAGACCTAAACAAGTTACCAGATAGCGGACTAAAATCCAAGCAGTGATGAGTGAATCATCACTTCTCCTCGGAGGTTTCTTCATGATGTCCTTGTCCGGAGGATTGAATCCCAAAGCTGTTGCAGGTGGTCCATCCGTAACAAGATTAACCCAGAGAAGCTGGACCGGAATCAAACCCTCAGGTATACCTAATGCTGCTGTTAGGAATATGGAGGCAACCTCACCAATATTTGATGAGATCATGTACCTGAAATAATGCGTCTTAGCATCAAAGAATTCTGGAAACAAAAATGATTGTAGGCAACAATCAATATTCAAGCAAAGTAAGGAAGGATGCATTTCCAGGCATTATAGTCCATATGAATGACCTTTAAAGTCTAAAGGCATGAAAAAAGTTCACAACAAACCTGATAAACGCTTTCATGTTGTTATAAATGGATCTGCCTTCACCAACAGCAGCAACAATTGTACTAAAATTGTCATCTGCCAACACCATGTCAGAAGCTTCTTTTGCAACCTGGCAGTTGGAAAGAATTTAAATGAATTGAGAAAAAGAAAGGGAATATGGGATGGTGAAAAGAAAAGAAAAGAAGAAGAAGAATAAGAACCAAGAACTTGAACAGAACACCATAAAGAATATCAAACCATGGTCCTCTCCAACTAATTGGATGAGAAAACCAGTCTCCTAAAACCCATCAATAGTTATCTTCAAGTTCAATTTGCTTTTCATTTTCCTTTTAAATAATTAACTCTTTCATTTGGAACTCTATGATGTACTTTGAAACCTTGATATGGAGGTGCATTTTCAAAAAGAAAATCGGCAACAAATTTAGAATAAGATGAAAAACTACCTCTGTTCCAGCAATCCCCATGGCAATCCCAATATCAGCCAGTTTCAAAGCAGGTGCATCATTTACTCCATCACCAGTCATAGCAACCACCTCTCCATCTTCCTTTAGCAATCTCACTATCTCCTGCTTGTGTCTTGGTTCAGCTCTGGAAAATAGAATGCCACCACTTTGTCTCAGATGAGCTTTCTTATCCAACAGCTCCATAAACTCCTTCCCCGTTAAACTTTTAGAACTGATGTCTTCCATGGGCCCAAAAACACCTATTTCACGACATATAGCTTCTGCTGTATGTTTGTTATCTCCAGTTATAACCATAACACGAATGCCAGCTGCTTTACAGTCCTCAATTGCCTGATGGATTTCTTGACGTGGAGGGTCCTAAAAACATTTAATGGCACCACCTAGCAGAGTTACTCCACTGGGAAAGCATATAATTAAAAGAACTGTAAGCAAAGACAGTGATTAGAAACTTTGCAACTCACCCTCAGTCCAACCAAGCCTACAAAAGTAAGATTGCTCTCAATTGATGAATAGTTGGAAGGGTCAAGTAATAGGTTATGTGCTGGATGATCATCACTGCCGTCATAGGTTTCAAACTCAGGAAGCTCATCTTTGTATGCAAAACCCAAGCAGCGCAATGCACCGCTTGACATATCTTGAAGAGCATTGGAAACAAGGATCTTTGAATTTTGATCAAGTGGTACAACGGAACCATCTAGCAACTGCATCTTTGAGCTTCTCTCAAGTAAGTTTTCTACAGCTCCCTGCCAAAGTCCGTAACTAAAGTTAAAGAAGCATAGTGTGAAGGAGAAACACACATGGAAGTTAAAGTATTCGGTAGATGTGTGAAAAATCTAAATAGAGGAAAGAAGAAAGTGATCAGGAGCGCTATCTGCAAGCAAAACAAGCATTTGGTGGTTGTTCACAAGATAATCAAATGCCCAGAAGAAAAAACAACTTTGGCTTTTATGTATGAAAATCACGAGTGAGATATCAATATACCTTCACTAACAATGACCTTCCTGATTTGAACTTGACAATAACACCCATGGACTTCCTATCGCGATCGAACTCAAGGGTTGCAATACGATGCTCATACTCATTCCACCATTGGCAACAACCTTAAGGTCATATTAAGTAACATATCTAAGATACAAGTCTTAATGCTAGAAACGAACTAATAAAAAAACTGTAAAGCATTTGAAAATCCAACATACGTAGAACATCAACTGTAGCTGCTCCACCACCATATAATCCCTTTGGGAGGCCCATTTTCTCTACAAGAACCTGCACAGGGATAAACCAGAGATAAAGTTACTATAAGCCTACTTCAGAGAAGCAATAGATCAACAAATATATACATCAACTCAATTGATGAAAGCCTAGCCAAACATTGGCATCACGCCCTAAACGAAATCATCACAATTTATGACCGCATTAGGAATTCAAATAAGAGAAAGTGCTACCTAACCTTTATCGCTGCCTCAGTAGGCATACCATGAGATAAAAACTTATGGTCAGAATGTGTTACATCAGCATCATTACATATAGCACAAATCTTGGCAATTGTTTCAAGATTAGCATCCATTCCACTACTTGGCCAATCATGTATTTTCCCATCAGAAGGATTATACGTTGTGCCATCAACTCTAAAACTTCGCAAACTACTAGCATCATCCCCCATAGCCACAAGCTTAGCTACGGCCATCTGGTTGGTCGTCAAGGTCCCTGTTTTATCAGAGCAAATCACAGTAGTACACCCTAATGTCTCGACGCTAGGCAACTTCCTCACCAGTGCGTTCTTTTGAGCCATTTTTCGAGTCCCAAGTGCTAAACAAGTGGTAATAACTGCCGGTAACCCTTCGGGAATGGCGGCAACAGCCAATGCTACGGCGATTTCAAAATAATATGTACATTTCTCAAAAGAAAACTTGAAATTCCTCGGCCAACCATCAATATACTCCCAACTGAGAAAATATTTAACATTAATTAACCAAACGAAAACACAAATTACCCCAATTATCATAGTTAGAACCTCTCCGAACTCGTTCAGTTTCTTCTTTAACGGCGTGTCTTCTTCGTTCTGTGCCGCAACATGGATCTGAGTATGAACTTTACCAATCTCCGTTTCCATCCCAATCTGC